CTTAGCAGGACAGTTAAGGAAAATCCTGCTCCCACTTTATTACCATGGTAAAGATAGTGGACATTGTTGTCTATGCTTAAGACAGCAAGAATCAAACATTCTGCTTTGCTTCATGGAGGAAGTGGCAAGGAAGCAAAAGTACTAGGTCAGCTTTTCCTTTATGTGCTGGGGTAGTGACGGTGTAGGAGGATGTGGCGTCTTCAGATTACTTTTGACTCTACTGAGAGTCACACTGACGCCAGGATAACCAACAAAGAACACTGATCCGTGCGTTAGTGTGAACAAAGTATCTCATAAAACACAATAAACACTTAAGAGAAGAGTGATCAGCTTCTTCAGTGATAAGATTGTGAACAATAAAGACAAATCTTGTGGAACATAGTGTACCAGTGTGCGTATTCCTAGACTATGGAAGACGTGGACATCCAAGGACACTTCAGCGTCTATCAAGTCACCGATACCTGTCGAAGGTGTGAAGAACACCATAGCTCACGCTACAAGAGCAAGGTAGGTTACGAATTTCTTGTAGTACGGGGGACTGTGCAGTTTTTGAGTCGCAAAGAGTTTGTAATCAACCTATAGTCGGCAGTGAGGTGCGGACTTTTGAGTCCACACAAGTAAGTTTGTCAGCCATCAGTGAATGAAATATGCTGACATAACACCCCTAGGGGTAATTTATTGTTTACATAATATGATCTATTACAGCACGTTGAGAGATGATCATGACAACAATTCAAGACCTCGTCTGCAGGGGCGGCTGTGTAGACGATTTGCTGTCTTTTATAAGCTAAGTATTTCCTATATTTAAAATTATAAACTTAGCTGGTAACCCATTCCTCGACAACTGCCACATGCTGAGAATTAATTCTAGCGACCAGTTCTCTGACCAACTCTGTAATCTATCCAAGTTCTCTTGTCTTCTCTTCATCCCTTCACCGGCTTTTTTGCTCACAATTACTTTTGCAACATCTTCAAACAGCATAATATAGGACGTTATTTTCCCTGAATGTCATTTTTGACTAGCTCGTCATATTTACTTGTACTGATGCGTTCTGATGTGTTCTCCCTGACCAACTCTCAGTGTTCTTTCCCTTACGTAGTCTTCGATCCACTGCCCCTTCTAGTTTGTAGATCAGTCCTTGCTGTGGTACAATATAGAAGGCCTTTTAACAAACCAGTAATTTGCAAGTTATCCACCCTTCTCTTTCTGTCTTCTTTCATAATCTGTTCTAGAAATCCAATACCTTTGTATGATTTGTTTCCCAAAGTCCGGGCTGGATGTCTGTTACGAATCCTCATTTCTCCAGGTGCCTCGGCTATCTTCTTCTGATTGTTTTCTCGATTACTTTTAGCAATATGCATGTCAAGGATACAGTGGCAGTAAGTTACTTGCCCTTTTCCATGTATTTCGTAATTGCTCTATTCCTGTGACCTGTTAAAAAAACACTATTGGTTCACATAACACTTCCAACTCAGCTTCAGAACCCACAAAAACACATTATCAGGTTCCTTTGCAGAGGGAACCAGACACATAAAGTGGTTTCAGTATTTCTCCGGCTAACCTGTAGCTTCGTCTCTCCCGAATTTAACCAAACTCTACAAGAAATACCAACCACACTAAATTTTCTGTTCAGATCCTCGTAGATATCCTTGTCATTCAAGGTAGGTTCTCTCTTTCTTTCCTAAACCTTAATAGTTAATTCTATATTATTTTCTTTCTGCTGATGAGGTTGTGTAGCAGTTTCACCTGTGATTGGGCCCTTTATCGTTCTCTTATTGTCTTTCGGCTTCTCTTTGTTATTGGCACTTATTCTCTCCTTATCTGCCAACATCTGCGTTTGTGTAGTTCTTTCATACCTTCGTGTTGTTTGTACTTTTTCTCAATTTTAGGTAAATTACAGGATTTCTCTGTTCATCCCATTGCTACTTCCATTTTTTAATGATTTAATAGTAAGATACTCCTTCCTATTTGTTGATTTCTCTTCCATTTCTCTTTCTCATTAAACTTCATTTGGTAAGGCTGTTATCCTTGTCACGTTTCCTCTCTTGTAGCTTCACTTAGTTCTTCCCTTTGCTTCATTGTTCCAGTTTATGGTCGCTTCTACCAGTTGACGAAGATTACGACTGGATGAGTGCTGGCCTCCAGTGACTCTCCTTAATTTGTTTTCTTCTTCTTCCGCATTACAGTAAAGACCAGATCCGGTTTTGCTAGCTCATCCTCCTCTCGTTCGCTCTCTCTCTCTCTCTCTCTCTCTCTCTCAATCTCCTTGAGGTTAAAGACTCCCATGATAAGCAAGTTTGCTTTTGCCCAGTGGGCTATCTTTGTCATGTTCTTTATGGATTTATTTCATATCTCTGTTAATTTCCCCCTTTTCCTTTACTCCTATCTTTGTCTCCTGCTGTCTGGTGGTAGATTATAGCAACGTGATCTTATTGCCCTGTGCTTCCCAGCCACGTTTGCTGTATTTTTCATATTCTCAGCTATTAGAACCTCCATGTTTTGCTGACCCAAAAAATTATTTTCGTTCGCCTTCTCCCAACACTCACTACTTTGTGTGAATGTGTGTGTGTGTGTGTGTGTGTGTGTGTGTGTGTGTGTGTGTGTGTGTGTGTGTGTGTGTGTGTGTGTGTGTGTGTGTTTTGTGTGTGTGTGTGTGTGTGTATGTGTGCATGTATGTGCTGTCTCGAATTCCTGCGATTTTCGTTTTAAATTCTTATAAAAGTGTGGTTTCCAGCGCAGCAGAACAATGAAGCTGCTTCCTGACGTCAGTCGTAGTATTAATGACCTTGTAAGAATCGCGTCTCTCTCTCTCATTCTCTCTACCAAGAGGTCACTCACTTGCCTCACAGATAACAGGTACCCCTGTGTCTTGTCTAGTTTTGTGTGTGTGTGTGTGTGTGTGTGTGTGTGTGTGTGTGTGTGTGTGTGTGTGTGTGTGTGTGTGTGTGTGTGTGTGTGTGTTTGTGTCTGTCTGTCTGTCTGTCTGTCTGTGTTTGTGTGCGTGAGAGCTCTCACCTACTTGCAATACAGGGGTCGATTCACAGCTCTTGGCCCTGTGTTTCAACTAGCAGTTACAGGGGTTCGTTCCCCCCTTGCCTTGTGGATCTAATAAACTCATTCAAATTTTTAAAGCTGCCTATGAAGCCTGAGATCACCAGATCTTCATCCAATACATTCCGCTCTCTGATTACCCAGAGGCTGAAGAAATACTTCCTGGCATCTTTGTAGCTCATCTGTGTTTTCAACTTCCGTCTATTCCCTTTTACACCTTTCTCCCTCCACGCAAGTAGCTTATCACTGTCCAGCCTATGATAGCCTCTAAGTATTTTGTCTGTTATTATCATGTGCCTTCTGGTTTCTATGTTCTTTATTGTCGTCACTTTCAGTTCTTAAGTCTCTTCTCATAGCTCATTTTCCTTAGCTCCGGGACTAGTCTTGTTACTAACCTCTGCACTTTCTCCAAATTCTCGAAATTCTGTTTCACTATCTACACAGCCAGATTCCAGATCTGGGTTCTGGCTGCGTAAATAAAGTACTGCGTACTTTGATGCAGGTTCTAATCCTGCTGTGGCCTGAGAGAATGTTTATAAATAATTTCGCCCGTTTACGAATTGTTAAGCATTCCAAACTCTTTTTCGAAGTTCACTGCCTGTGTCAGGAGTTGATGATTCTGTTTTGTATGTGGGTTCCAGGCTGAGGCGAGGCATACCTGGAGGAACCTGACATATGTCGTTTAAAGTCCTTGTCATGAATGAATCTTTAAGATTTCTGAAAGCCAATCTTAGTCTTGCCAAAAGCACATTCATTCCATAGATTATGTCGATGATATGCACCTTGTTACCCCCTGTCCTTGTCTCTTGTTACTGTGTTAGATGCCGTCTCACAGTCAAGTAATATGCAGCCTACCTTCCCTGTCTGTCTTGCCTTATGTCTAGTTAATTTGTCACTGAGACGTCGTCTAGCTCATGGGTCCCCAACCTGCGGCCCGCGGGCCGCATGTGGCCCGCGGGCCACATGTGGCCCTTCCAGGGAAGGATGTGGCCCTCACATGAAATTATAAATTCACTTTTATGTAGGTTCCACACTCAACAATTACAAAATAATATGGTTATCATTCATAAAAATTACCAAAATTACAAAATATGACCCTGTTGATAAATTAGACACATGTGCAACTCTTGGGTATCTTTATTGAGGAAACGTTTCGCCACTCAGTGGCTTCATCAGTCCATACGTAGGAGAAACTTGAAGAACAGGAGGACAATGAGGTAATCAGTCCCTCAACCTTGAGTCGATGTGTTCAGTCCATCAATTCTATTCAAGATTGATGGACTGAACACATCGACTCAAGGTTGAGGGTCTGATTACGTCATTCTCCTCCTGTTCTTCAAGTTTCTCCTACGTATGGACTGATGAAGCTACTGTGTGGCGAAACGTTTCCTCAATAAAGATACCCAAGAGTTGCACATGTGTCTAATTTATCAACATGTCGGTTCTCTGAACCATTCATCTACAAAATATGACCCTATTTTAAATTTACCTTTTCAATTTGGCCCTTTTATATTAAAAGGTCGGGTCTACTGGTCTAACTCGTATCTAATTTTCGGGTTATTTGAAAAACGTCACACCCACGTCTCTGCAACTTTTTCTTGAAAATACTCAATTTTTTCTCCCCCTTCCCCACCACCACGAGAATCATAATAACTTTTTTCTTCGGCACTTTCACATTTAACCACTCACCATGTACCAAGTACTTAAAGAAATGTGTATCAGCATACCTTCTAAAAATCATCCACGGTGTGACTTGATCAAGTGACCTTTGTGAGTCTCCTTCATTAAGCATCGGGTAAAGGCAAGCAAAAGTAGTCTGAAAGCCAGCGAAAGCTGTCGAAGACGTAAAAACCTGTAGGTGTGTGTGTGTGTGTGTGTGTGTGTGTGTGTGTGTGTGTGTGTGTGTGTGGTGTTGGTGTCTTGGTGAGACTGACTTCCTCACCTCCCGGCCTCTCAGTGCCGTCTCTGACACCGCTCAGGTGAGTATGTTAGTGTCTTTCGTCTTGTCGGGCAACCCAGCAGCCAAAGATATTAAAGTTATACATTAAATCCGTGTGGGTTTTCCAACGTAAGCAGTAATGAAGGCTTGATTCTCCGTTCTCTAATTGTCACGTTATGTGAAAAATGGTATGATGATACCGACAAGAAATGGAAAGACACTTATTACAGGAAAAACGTTTCGCCACTAGTGGCAAAACGTTTCCTCTAATAAATGTCCTGAACTGCACATAAGTGCCCTTTTCCTTGCCTAATTGTACTCAACTAATGTACAACCAAAGGTATCAAACATGTTTTAAATTGCCTAAGAGTATTTATTAGTGTGTCGATATCGGGGTGAAGGACTCTTTAACTAAGTAACTGGAGCCTCCCATTACCCGGGCGCTGAGTGCTCCCGCGGGTTCATTCCTTCCCAGTCACTCTAACACTTGTACATAATATGACAAAAATACGCCTGTTTTTGAATACTTTATGTATGAGTAACAGTAGCTGCTGTATTATGAACTTACATGAACAACAGTAGAAGCTATATTATGAACGTATATGTGTAACAGTGGTAGATTAGTAGATATATATTATTAACCTGTATCAGGAACAGCAGCAGCTATATTATTCGATAAATTAGACACGTGTGCAACTCTTGGGGATCTTTATTGAGGAAACGTTTCGCCACACAGTGGCTTCATCAGTCCATACAAAGGAGAAACGCGAAGAGCATGAGGAGAATGAGGTAATCAGTCCCTCAACCTTGAGTCGGTGTGGTCAGTCCATCAATCTTGAATAGAATACAGGATATGAGCAGAGAAGTGGCTCATATACCGTAGGCAGGAGAGGTGCAGCAGTCGTAGGTGGGGTCACATTTGTCCATTGTGGAAGTAGGTCGTGCCCAAGGGTTAGGCAAGCGAAGAATTCCCAAGTAATAAGATCCCAAGAAGTTGCTGTGTCTGACAGGATTGTAGATGAATGGTTCAGAGAACCGACATGCTGATAAATTAGACACATGTGCAACTCCCCAAGAGTTGCACACACTGGAGGATGCATCAGCCACTAAGATAGTCACACACTGGAGAGTGCATCAGCCACTAAGATAGTCACACACTGGAGAGTGCATCAGCCACTAAGATAGTCACACACTGGAGAGTGCATCAGCCACTAAGATAGTCACACACTGGAGGATGCATCAGCCACTAAGATAGTCACACACTGGAGAGTGCATCAGCCACTAAGATAGTCACACACTGGAGAGTGCATCAGCCACTGAGATAGTCACACACTGGAGGATGCATCAGCCACTAAGATAGTCACACACTGGAGAGTGCATCAGCTTCTAGCTCGTTTAGATCTTTACTATTAATGTCATGAGAAATCGCTAAACCCGGACGAGCCACGCAGTGTCTGAGAAACTGGGAGGTAATTAGCTTTGATCCAATCCCTCGGATCAGCAGCTCTTCACCGGCATTAAAGGCACACTCCTTGAAAGCAAAAACGCTATAGAAGAGTAGAATTGATTTTGAGAACATGTAAAAGTGAATATATATAAATAAATATATATATATATATATATATATATATATATATATATATATATATATATATATATATATATATATATATATATATATATATATATATATATATATATATATATATATATATATATATATATATATATATATATATATATGTCGTGCCGAATATGTAAAACTGGTCAATTAGCAAGAACTTATTTAAAATTAAGTCCTTTCTGAAATTTTCTCTTATACGTTTAAAGATATATTTTTTTCATTAATGTTAATGTAAAATTTTTTAATTTTGCACCAAAAGAATCTTAGAAAACTTACCTAACCTTATTATAACAAGAGCAATTTATTTCAGCCTAACCCAACTAAATATATTTTAGATTTGTTTACAATAATTTAATACTAAACAAACATAATGAAATATGTTTTTTTCGTTAGGTTCAGAATGATTTTGGCGAAATTATTGCATACACAAATTTTCACTTGTCCTATATGGCAAGATGAGCGTTGCTATTTAAGCCAAGATCGCAAATTCTGCCTATTCGGCACGACATATATATATATATATATATATATATATATATATATATGTCGTGCCGAATAGGCAGAACTTGCCATCTTGGCTTAAATAGCAACGCTCATCTTGCCATATAGGACAAGCGAAAATTTGTGTATGAAATAATTTCGCCAAAATCATTCTGAACCTAACGAAAAAAATATATTTCACTGTGTTTGTTTGGTATTAAATTACTGTAAACAAATCTAAAATATATTTAGTTGGGTTAGGGTAAAATATATTGATCTTTTTATAATAAGGTTAGGTAAGTTTTCTAAGTTCCTTTTGGTGCAAAATTATAAATTTTTACATCAACATTATTGAAAAAATATATCTTTAAACGTATAAAAGAAAATTTCAGAAAGGACTTAATTTTAAATGAGTTCTTGATAATTGACCAGTTTTACATATTCGGCACGACATATATATATATATATATATATATATATATATATATATATATATATATATATATATATATATATATATATATATAATATATATATATATATATATATATATATATATATATATATATATATATATATAATATATATATATATATATATATATATATATATATATATATATATATATATATTCCAGCTAAAACGCTCCCCTAAACTAATCTGCTTGGACTTCATACTCATTTCTGCAACACTGGAAGCTCCTGATGATGTGTTGATTGCAACACGAAAGGCCTAGAACTATTAGTCAACTCCTCCTGTGGTTGATTTGCATATATTTACAGTACTCACACGCTGGCCGTCTCCCACTGAGGTAGAGTGACCAGAAAAAGAAACTATTTCATCGTTTACACTGTCACCGTCTTGCAGAGACGACCATTAAGATATTTGGTTTTGTAATCAACGTTAAGACGTAATTTTCACCTGTTTTAGATTTACGTTAATGTGTGAACGTGTGTTCCTACAGACAATGACTGGAGTCGTCATCCTTCTGCTGGCCCTGGCGGCGCCAAACATGGCTGGTGGGGGCTTCGGAGGCGGCTTCGGAGGACCAGCTGGAGGTTATGGAGGAGGCGGTTATGGTGGAGGAGGTTTTGGAGGTGGGGTTTATAGAGGTGGCGGTTTTGGAAGTGGAGGCTATGGCGGTAGTGGTGGATTTGGAGGCGGCGGCTTCGGAGGTGGCGGCTTCGGAGGTGGTGGCTTTGGAGGTGGCGGCTTCGGAGGAGGTGGCTTCGGAGGCGGTGGCTTTGGAGGAGGTGGCTTCGGAGGTCGTGGCTTTGGAGGAGGTGGCGTCAGAGGAGAAGGTTCGGGAGTCCGCGCCGAAGTCTGTGAACCACAAGTGATCCTTAAGACCCACTACAAAACCAAGCTTAATGAGGTACGTTGTCCCCAGAGAGCGTAGTTGCCATACTAGTTTTGTGTTGTAGGGTGCCAGTGTCCGTGCCTGCCATGCTAGCTTTGTGTTGCAGGGTACCAGTGACCGTGCCTGCCATACTAGCTTTGTGTTGCATGGTACCAGTGACCGTGCCTGCCATGCTAGCTTTGTGTTGCAGGGTACCAGTGACCGTGCCTGCCATACTAGCTTTGTGTTGCAGGGTACCAGTGACCGTGCTTGCCATGCTAGCTTTGTGTTGCAGGGTGCCAATGACCGTGCCTGCCATGCTAGCTGTGTGTTGCAGGGTACCAGTGATGCACCAGGAAACAGCGGTGTTACAGAAAACCGTTCGTGGTACCTTCTTATACTGACTCAGTACCCACGACAAGGCAATGTGTACCACCGGGAGGTCGTGTAGTAGCGTGTATGTGTGTGTGTGTGTGTGTGTGTGTGTGTGTGTGTGTGTGTGTGTGTGTGTGTGTGTGTGTGTGTGTGTGTGTGTGTGTGTGTGTGTGTGTGTTTATGAATGCTTTTTGTAAGTACATTCATAAATTAGAGAAGTTGCAGAGGTTGGTGGATGAATTTGGTAGGGTATGCAAAAGAAGAAAATTAAAAGTGAATACAGGAAAGAGTAAGGTTATGAGGATAACAAAAAGACTAGGTGATGAAAGATTGGATATCAGATTGGAGGGAGAGAGTATGGAGGAGGTGAATGTATTCAGATATTTGGGAGTGGACGTGTCAGCGGATGGGTCTATGAAAGATGAGGTGAATCATAGAATTGATGAGGGGAAAAGGGTGAGCGGTGCACTTAGGAGTCTGTGGAGACAAAGAACTTTGTCCTTGGAGGCAAAGAGGGGAATGTATGAGAGTATAGTTTTACCAACGCTCTTATATGGGTGTGAAGCATGGGTGATGAATGTTGCAGCGAGGAGAAGGCTGGAGGCAGTGGAGATGTCATGTCTGAGGGCAATGTGTGGTGTGAATATAATGCAGAGAATTCGTAGTTTGGAAGTTAGGAGGAGGTGCGGGATTACCAAAACTGTTGTCCAGAGGGCTGAGGAAGGGTTGTTGAGGTGGTTCGGACATGTAGAGAGAATGGAGCGAAACAGAATGACTTCAAGAGTGTATCAGTCTGTAGTGGAAGGAAGGCGGGGTAGGGGTCGGCCTAGGAAAGGTTGGAGGGAGGGGGTAAAGGAGGTTTTGTGTGCTAGGGGCTTGGACTTCCAGCAGGCATGCGTGAGCGTGTTTGATAGGAGTGAATGGAGACAAATGGTTTTTAATACTTGACGTGCTGTTGGAGTGTGAGCAAAGTAACATTTATGAAGGGGTTCAGGGAAACCGGCAGGCCGGACTTGAGTCCTGAAGATGGGAAGTACAGTGCCTGCACTCTGAAGGAGGGGTGTTAATGTTGCAGTTTAAAAACTGTAGTGTAAAGCACCCTTCTGGCAAGACAGTGATGGAGTGAATGATGGTGAAAGTTTTTCTTTTTTTCGGGCCACCCTGCCTTGGTGGGAATCGGCCAGTGTGATAATAACAAAAATAAAAAAATATTCATAAATTATCACACACACTCTTGCAGGTACACAAAATATTAATTCAATTTAAAAACATCTGGTTTCTGATAATGGAATCATTTCAACGCTCTTATCAGGTCTCTATTATTTGCATTATAAATTTCCTTCGTAGCGAAATGATTGTAACATATCTATGCTTGAATTATATTCGTAAAAAAAACTTAGGAGTTTATAGAATCATTAGATCTTTGGTCTCGGGTTAGCGAGGTAATACCTAATAACACTGTATTACTACGGCGACAGGTACCTGTGTTGAAAACAGTGCTGAGTAAGAAGCTGGTACTGCAGCCGTACACTGAATATCTGTACAGCACTATCTACAAGGAGAACACTTTGTACCTCACCAAGACGGAATTTGTCACCAACACCGACTACGTCACCAGGGTTTGTATTGTAGTAGGAGTGTCTTATGTGGAGATAATGGGTGACAAGAGGAGTAATTGTAACAGTACTTGAAGTTATAGTAACAATAGACGTAGCAGTAGCCACAGTAGCAACAGCAGAAGCAATAGTAGCAGCAGTAGTAATAGCAGCAGCTGCAGTTTTAGTAGAAACAGTAGTAGTGGTAGTAGCTACAGTTGTAGTAGTAGTAGTAACAGCTGGAGCAGAAGTAATAGTAGTCGTTTTAACAAAAGTATTAGTTGTTGTATCAGTAGCAGTGATAGTAGTTTTAACCGTAATAGTAGTACCAGTAATAGTAGCAGAAGTTGAATTTAATCAGACAAACGCACACACACACACACACACACACACACACACACACACACACACACACACACACACATACCAACACATACAAACGCATACAAACACACACATGCACGCATCTAACCCTTTAAACTGGACTTAAAGAAAGACAACGTTTCGGTAGTCCACGAGGCCATTTTCAAGTACCGGATTGAATCGTTATCTTGTATTTCTAATTTTTACCTTATTTATGAACGACTCTAGCTAATGTTATTGAAACCCCTTTAATCTTTTTTTTCCGACTTTTGGGTTTCAGGGGGGCCCAAAAAGCGTTTCAGGGGAAAATCTCTCGAAGGTGTTTGTACTACCCTGAGAACCCCCAAAAACTTTAACTCGGTGACAAAATTACCCCCGGTTCATTTAAAACCAAAAAACGTGTACCCAAAGGAGATCTCACGTACCCCGGGTTCCCCAGCATCGGGGGAAAGCCCGTTTACGACACCTTCCCAAAGGAAAAACCATTTTTATTCCCCACAAGAGCAAAATTTCCCCGGGGCCCGAACTTAGTATTCCCAAAGACTTCCACTAAAAACCCAAAAAACTTTGGGGGCCCCAAAAGCCCCAAGCTTCCTACGTGCCCCAACCCAAAACCCTTTTTCCTCTTCATAGAAAAAGATTTTTTAAACGCAGCCCTCGTATTTCCCAAAGCACATTCGCCCCCACCTAAACAAATTTTTCACCCCCACCAACTTTCTGAAAGTCCATTTTTATGGGACGCGACGTGGCAAAGTTTTGGGGGCCCTTTTGACTCCCCGGGTACTCTAAAAAGCAATTTCCCCCTCCAGGAAAGGGCTTGTTTGTTTTGGCGCAGCTTTTGAACTTTTTTCCCAAAAAATTTGGGGTGTACGAGGGCAGTACTTGCCCCCCCTTTTCTAAAGGTTTCTTATTACTCAGTTTTTTAATTTTAGTATTGCCCATTTTAAGGGAAAGTAATACTGGAAAAATTTACTGAAATTAGCTCCCCGCCGGGCTTTGGCACACGGGTCCCCACCCTACTCAGTCTTCTTTGTACTGTATTTAAAACAAAAGACCAGTCCAGGGGATATTTCAAGCTATGGGGGGTTTTTTAAGTTTTCCCGATTATTTTTTTTTATATCCAATTTATTTTTTGCTACTTTTTTTGTTTAAAAATTTTTAAAAGGGTTTTTGTCAAAAAGGGTTTTCAAAAATTTTTTTTAAAATTTTTGTTTTCTGGGGGGTTGTGTGTGTGTGTTGTGTTTTTTTGGTGTGTTGTGGTGTGTTTTGTGTGTGGTGTGTGTGGTGTGTGTGTGTGGGTGTTTTGGTTTTTTTAAAAAAATAATACTTTAATAACAAATCCCGTGACCCCTTTAAATGGTTAAAATAAAATTTTGCGTAAAGTCGTTCCCTGTACTATATTTTGGCCCCCCCCCCCCCCAGCACCAAAAACCTTTATCCGTCTTTCAACTTTAAACCCCCCCCAGCCCATAACATTTTCCCGTCATTAAATTATCCCCCCCCCCAGCACCATAAATTTCCCTTTTCCCTTTTTAAAACTTTTCCCCTCCCCCAGCCCAAAAAACATTCCCCCGTCTTTTCAACTATCCCCTCCCCCAGCACCATAACTTCCCCGTCATTCAACTTTTCACTCCCCCCAGCATTTTTAAATTTCCCGTCTTTCAATATCCCCCCCCCAGCCCATAACATTCTCCCGTCATTAAACTTTTCACCCCCCCCAGCCCCCTTAACTTCCCCCTTTCATTCAAAATATCACCCCCCAGACCAAACATTTTCCCGGGTCATTAAAATTTTTCCCCCCCCCGCCCCAAAACATTCCCCCGTCATTAAAACTTTCACTCCCCCGCACCATTAACATTCTCCCGTCAAAAAAATTTCCTCCCGCCCTTTAAAAAACCCCCCCGTCATTCCAACTATCATTTCCCCCCGCCCCAAAAAAACATTCCCCCGTCATTAACTATCCCCTCCCCCAGACCTTAACATTTTTTCCGTATTTCAAATCATCCCCAGCACCTTAAAATTCTCCCGTCATTCAACTATCACCCCCCAGAAACCATAACATTCTCCCGTCTTTTCAACTATCACTCCCCCAGCCCCTTTCCCATTCCCCCATCTTTAACTATCCACTCCCCCCACCTTTAAACATTCTCCCGTCTTTAAAACTATCACTCCCCCGAACCAAAAACATTCCCCCGTCTTTTCAACTATCACCCCCCAACCCACCTTTAACATTCCCCCGTCTTTAAAAACTTTAACTCCCCCCCCCCACCTTAACTTTTCCCCCGGGGTTTATTAAACTATCATTCCCCCAGCACCATAACTTCCCCCGTCTTTCAACTATAAACCCCCCCCCGGGCACCATAATTTCTCCCGTCTTTCCCAATTATCACTCCCCCCAGCCCCAAAACTTTTCCCGTCATTCAATTTTCCCAATCCCCCGCCCAAAAACTTTCCCCCGTCTTTTAAACTTTCACCCCCCCCGCACCTTAACATTCCCCGTCATTAAAAACTATCACCCCCCCCAGCACCTTTAACTTTTCTCCCGTCATTTCAACTATCATTTCCTCCAAGCACCTTAACATTCCCCATAAATTAATTCACTCCCCCGGCACCAAAACTTTCTCCCGTTCATTAAAACTATCACCCCCCCGCACCAAAAACATTCCCCCGTCATTAACCCTATCATTTCCCCCGCACCAAAACATTCTCCTTTCATTAAAACTATCACCCCCCCCAGCCCAAAACATTCTCCCGTCAAAAAACTATCACCCCCCCCAGCCCCAATAACATTCCCCCGTCATTAAACCCTTAAACCCCCCCAAAAACCTAACTTTCCCCCGTCATTAAACTATCACCCCCCCCGGGGCCCTTAACTTTCTCCCGTCATTAACTTTAAACCCCCCCCACCCAAAATAACATTCTCCCGTCATTAAAACAAACACCCCCCCCGGGCCCAAAAACATTTCCCTTTAATTCAACTATCACCCCCCCCACCCTTTTTTCATTCCCCCTTTCTTTCCCAAACTATCATTTCCTCCAAGAAACCTTTAACATTCCCCCCATCATTAAACTACCCACTCCCCCCCACACATAACATTCCCCCTTCATTCAACTATCACTCCCCAGAAACCATTTTTTTTTCCCCTTAATTAACAACACTCCCCCAGCACCATAAAAAATTCCCCCTTCTTTAAACCCAAATTTTCCCCCCCAAGCCCCAAAAATTCTCCCATCATTCAACAAATCACTCCCCCAAACCCAAAAACCCCAAAATTCCCCCCTTTCATTAAAACTTTCACTCCCCCCAAGCACCAAAACTTTCTCCCATATTCCTATCATTTCCCCCAGCACCATTAACATTCTCCCATCTTTCAACTATCACTCCCCCAGCCCAAAACATTCTCCCTTCATTAACTATAAATTCCCAAAGCCCCATCCCCTTCCCCCATCATTCAACTATCCCTCCCCCCAGCACCCAAAAACTTTTCCCCCAATCATTCAACTATCACTCCCCCGCCCCATAACTTTTCTCCCTAAATTCAACTATCACCCCCCCCACCCACCATAATTTTCTCCCATCATTCAACTATCACCCCCCCAGAAACCTTAACTTTTTCTCCTTCTTTTCAACTTTAAACCCCCCCAATCCCCTTTTCATTCTCCCATCATTCAACTATCACTTCGGAAGCAATTCATTTTCTCCCTAAAACTAAACTAAAAAGTCTTGCTATAGGGGTGACCACGGGGGGCGTAATAAACAGCTCCCGGGGAAAGGGAACTTCCAAAAAGAAAACTTAAAAAACCAAAACTTCTTTAACACCCTTTTTATTTTTTGCGAGTTTTAGCAGTGGAATCAAAAATTTGAATTGTTTTGGAAAATATAATTGTTTCAAGGTTTTTTTTCCTGTAGCTGGAAGATATATTTCAAAATTTAACAATCCCCTTGATTTTAAAAAATTTAAATTTTTTGTTATTTCTGTCATTTTATATTTTAAATTACCCCCTCTTTCAAATTTTCTTCGCATAGTTGGTCCCTTTTATTCGCGGTATGACCCTAGTGGGTTTAGGCTTATTTTGATCAAAAATAAAAAAGAAAAATGTTAATATATGTTAGTTGGGGAAAACGATCGTTGCTGTTTTGTTTGTTGTTAATGGAAATTTTTGTGAAATTTTTTTTGTATTTTTTTTCCTTGTTTCCCGTTTTTGTTAGGAACGTTTTTTCTTGTTAAATTTATATCATTTTATCGGGTTTATATTGGTTTTTGTGTCGTTTTTAAATATATTTTTCTTCCCAAAGTGATCAAATTGTTTTACTTAAAGAAAAAAAATTTTCATGACAGAATTGATTTTTATTTGGGCATTAAATTTTGTGTAAGAACTTTCATGATGTGAAAAACGCGGGGACACATATTTTTAAAATATATATATTATTTTTATATATATATATATATATATTTTATAATAAAATATATTTTAATATAAAATTTATATATATTATATTTTAAATATAGGGAGGTTTCCCCACTTCTAGAACTGTCGAGGGCCCCCTCTTCCTAAGAGAAAAAAATTTTTTTTAAAAATTTTCCCTTCGGGGAAAAATTTTGGGTTTCCCCCTGAAGTTTTTTGGGAAAATTTTCTCCTACCATTTTCCTATTTTTTGTATGTTTTTTTTAAAGACAAAAAAAAATTGGCCAAAAAATTCACAAAAATACAACAGAAGTAAAACAACTTAGGTAATTTCAGGCTAC